TGCCACTCAGCACAAGCAATCATAGTCTGGTCTTCCTTGGGATGGGCAGCTCTGGTTCAAATATTCTGCAAGTTTCCTCAAGGGTTCCTTTGGTAATCACTCACTGTCCTCTATATCCATCGTACCAGACTACGTGCTAACGTACTACGTTGTATCATGATCATTCTCTGTGCTGTGTAGTTCTGCTTTTTTTTCTTCTTTTTTTCCGACTTGTTTTTGAGCGTCTTGTTATATCAACCTTACCGTGTTTGAAGGGCGGTTGAGGGCAAGTTTAAAAGGAAAAGAACAATTGATCTGAAGATAAGATCTTAGTGATGTGCGCCGAGTTACGGTTTCCGATCCACATCACTACTGTGTAATGCCGTATCAACTGCGTGTGCAACCTATCTTACTGTTTGTAATCTGACTTCACTGCCACGAGTAACAAGCGTGCGCGCATAAATCTATATTGCATGTGTGTGACCGCGTTTTTATCTTGGCAATATCGCTATCGATAACTTCAGTGAACATATCTCATTTAGGCGTGCTTATAAGAAAGCACGCCCAATCTCCCTAATGCTATTTACTGCGTGCTTAGAGGAGGTTTTCAGAAGCCTAGAATGGGAACAGTTAGGGATAAGAGTTATCCCATGGGAGAGGCCTTTGTCCATACATGGGAGAGGCCTTTGTCCTGCAGTGGACGTAGTCAGGCTGATAATGATGATGATGATGATAAGAAAGCCAACCTCAATGTACTTGTTACTTTGACAAAGTCATGATTGATATGAGGAGTTTAACGTCCCAAAACCACCATATGAATATTAGAGAAGCCGTTGTGGAAGGCTCTGGAAATTTAGACCGCCTGGGGTTCTTTAACGTGCACCCAAATCTGAGCACACGGGCCTACATCATTTTCGCCTCCACCGAAAATGCAGCCGCCGCAGCCAGTATTTTTTTTTTGACAAAGTCTGGTCCAACAGAAACAGAAGAAACGTTAGTGAAAATATGCGCCAAACCAACGAAAATCTTTCTTTCCTATTATTTATTCTATCGGGTTCCAGTTGATATATATATATATATATATATATATATATATATATATATATATATATATATATATATATATATATATATATCAAAAAGAGCTGTCCTATGTTGCCGTAGATAAATAGGTAAAAGGTGTATGCTTGTCCACAACTGTTGATTCGTCGTTGTTTCGATCGGAGACCAATCATTCCTATTATGTGCATTATGTGTATTATAAGAGTATAATGGGAATGAATATACACTGACGAACCCCTATAGCACATAAGCGAGTTTTACAATGGCGGGCAGCGCTTACGTTAACGTTAGCGTATCTCAACGTTAACGCTTACACAGAATGCACTGCCTGCCAACATGCACAGCGAATAGCATTCTCGCTAACACTACCGCAAGCACGTATGGCTCAATCTAGTTATAAAAAAAAATAGTACATGTACTGTAGAAACTTCAAGTGCGCCATTAAATCGAGCTCATACAAAGTCACATTTCAGTTGCGCGTTTGGTCAAAAACATGTCACTTTCTTTCGACATATGCTGCAATCGAATTTTTTTCAATGCCCCTATTACCTGTCGCAGCTTGACGCGGGGCCGTATTTGCCCCGTTTTTCTAACTAGCGAATGAATTCAGCGTCATTATCTGTGTTCGGCTACACAAAACATGAAAAAACGTTGTAAATAATTTGGCTAAGCATTCTGCATCACAAATAGACAGTAGATCTGATCAACGGGACTACTTTATTGGCAGTATACTGCTGCCGAAGCATCACTTCTTAAGTTTAAATGAAATATGTGCGTTATTCAAAAGTGGTCACAGAATCCCGGCTGCAGCAGCTGCATTTCCGGTGGAGGCGGAAATGTTGTAGGCCCGTGTGTTTAGATTTCGGTGCGCGCTAAAGAACCCCAGGTGGTCGAAATTTCCGGAGCCCTCCACTACGGCATCTCTCATAATCATATGATGTTTTGGGGATGTTAAACTCCACATATCAATCAATATAATATTCTCAAGTAAATGAGTTTAATATTGCAGGCCGATGGCTAGAAAGGTTCAAATAGCAGGCACCATAATTTAGCCCTACGTGCGGAATTTCTCGCGTGCGTTAGTGGTGCATGCTATATTCTAGAAGTAGTGCCATAAAAACGGCAGTGGTGGTGCACGAAACTTACCCTCCCACTTGCCAGTAATCGCCGAGCAAAGAAGGCGATGGAGACCGTCACGCATTAGAGACACTGAGCATATATCGTCCGACGGCAGCTTGAAGCTACGGGCACCCAAGAGTGAGACCAGATACGGCAACGCATGGCCTAATCACGCATGCGCGGTAGCTATTCCATCGCTCTACAGTGTGCAGCCTCGCTGCGCCCGATCCCTCTGAGACAGCCTTGCGGCGTCCGAAGAAAGTACTATCGAAGAGATAGCCGCGCTTCTCGAAGCTATGGTCGACAGGGGAGTATGAGCGGCTACGGGACCGTGTTTTTATCTGCCAAAATTTGTGTGACTTATTAGTGCAAACTTTCCAAATTTTTTCGGGTCTGTGGCTATGAGGACATGTTTAGTGGTTCGGCGAAATAGTGAGATGAATAGGCCGCTGAATACCACAACCGTCTTGGGCAGAGACCATCGCGTGCGCCAAGCAACCAGTATAGCCTTGTGGTTTCATATTGCTCTCGCTCGCTTTATGTATAAGGCCGCGTGTTGAGTGCTCTCCTCAACTGTTCGTCATGATCTATTTTAATCACGCATCTGCTATTGAGCATCTCTTATTTTGTGAAGTCTGTTGCTATGGCGCAGCTGAATTTTTATTCGCTAACGTTTCTACCGATTCAGTGGGTGCACGTTATAGGCTTTCGCGCCATTGTTTTCCGTTACAATACACCGTTCGTTTTCGTTAAATCTTACTTTGAGATAAGCAGTGCATGCGCACATGTTTATCTGGTTTAGGCGTAGAGTATGTGGGATCTTGTTCAACTACTAGCATTATTATTCTCGTCACTCGTAATAGCTCTTTTTTTGTGTGTGTGTGTGTGTGTGTGTGTGTGTGTGTGTGTGTGTGTGTGTGCGTGTGCGTGTGCGTGTGCGTGTGCGTGTGCGTGTGCGTGTGCGTGTGTGTGTGTGTGTGTGTGTGTGTGTGTGTGTGTGTGTGTGTGTGTGTGTGTGTGTGTGTGTGTTTCTCGCCCACATGTTGAGTGGAAAAATTGTAAATTTACTCTGCAGGAATGAGGATGATTAAACTGCTGGCACTGTGTTGCGAATGCCTCACACATGTGAAGCTCCCTAGTCTCATTCTTTGGCAAATATTATAACTTTAGGGAGAATTCTCTGTAAATAATTAGCCTACCCGTAGACATAAATCTTCTAGTATGGTTATAACAAAGAGCCTGAGCTAGTTCATTCATTCTAAAAAATACACTATATGTGGTGTTGTGGCTTCTTTCTTGTGTGTGCACGCCCTGGATTGCTTTAATGACTTGTCTCACTCTTCTAAGCATGCCTTTTTACTGGAACATTACTTCACTTTTTGCTTGGCCGTCCTTCATCCCAAATTGACGCTTCCTTCGTTTAAATTTGTAATTACTATTTTATTTTGCGATTCAACACCGTTGTTGCTACAAAGCACAACATCGTCCACAAAGGACAAAAACTCTCCGTTGTTCCTTATTCTTATTTTTCGCATTCTTCTTTAAATATCTACTGTGAACAGGCCGCTAATAACGTGGAACGGTTTATAATTTTTCGCCTCATCCCATCTTCGATCAAGATTTTTCTGTGTTCTTTTAGGAATATGGTGGCTGTGAAATCTTTTTAGATGTCGGCTTTAGTATCTGCGAATGTTTAAATATTCTTTTATGACATAATTATTCTAATAAAACTGCTCATGTGTGTACATATATGTGAATAAAGTGCTCATGATCGTCTAGACGTGCTGCCCCATACGCATGCGTGGTTGGTGCTGCAGACCTTGCACGCTTTTAAGATTCGTTGAAGACAATACAGTTTGTAGGCCTTGCATGAATCTTTAATTATATGGTTCTCAATGGCACACTCCAACCCCAGTCAAACAATCATTATCTATATAGAGTATCTTACGCATACAGTCGGTGACTGATGTTCATCTGCCAATAAGCTATTTAGCAGTGCTGGTTTAGGGTACAATAACAACGGTAATCGTCGTAAAGAAATCGTCGTGCAGCCATTTTATTTGATAACACGTGTATTACAATTTCTAATGAAGTTAATGTAGACATAGAGCAACTACCACGGGTGTACTCATCTAAGGTGGAGACGACGATGCAACGGAACTACGTACTTAGCACACGCTAAATCAGCCCTGCGAAAACACCGTCGCTGCAGGCGGTCACGACGGGGGTTCCCGAGGAGGTTGGCGAGGCCGACACCACAATAGCATCGGCTAGTTTGCATAGGCCCAGTGACGGCTTGCCAACTTCGGCTCAATAACAGCAAGCCCATGTCGAATAAACGCTGGTTAGCCCGCAATGGCCCAACGCTGGCTAGCCTACATTGCGCGATGTGGCTGAAGATAGCGCGAACGTGTTTTCTCGACGTCAGACCAGTGTTGCTGCCAACATTTTGCGACGCTTGACCAAGAACGATGCATTTTCGGCACGCTGTCTAGGTAGGTCAAGCCAGAATGCAAGACGCGCGGCTTTGCTGGCCACCCACGAAAAATTGGGGGTGCCGCATCAGCCTCTAGAGACAGGAACATTCGTCAACAAAGGCCGACGCTTTGTGATTGTGCCGTCAGAGCTATCAGAATCTTCACTATACGGGCACACACTAAACCGTTCAGAGATCTCGCCGTGTCACTGAACAGCGACATCTTTTAGCTTACCTTAGCCCAAAGACATCTGTCCTTTCCATCAATATAGTACAGTGCCAGGACACCCGGTGTCTATCTATTGTATACTCTTGTGGCGCTACTTATCACACTAAAAAGAACCCTCGAATTTTGCTTTTGCAGGAGCCGGAGTCGAAGCCGTACCCTAAAGCTGTCTTCTTCATCATCGGCAATGAGTTCTGTGAACGTTTCTCCTACTATGGCATGCGAAGTGAGTACGGAGCGTTTTTCTCATTCCCCATAATAAGCTGCTGTTGTTTTGATGAATTGTCCAGCCACAGATAACACACCAGCAGCAGCTTTAAATAAATGAAAACAGCCCTTGTGTTATGTTGGCGCTTCTTATTATAATCTAACTCACCCACAGTTTGTTACTTGTGTTAAATACACACAAACTAGCCCTTGCGCGTTCTTGCACTTTTAAATTTGTAAACATTTTTGTTCCTACTGAACAAGGAAATAGTCCATTCGCTCGTCACTCGGTCACGTAGCACAATTATCGCCATATATAAAGAAGGTAATCAAGGTAAATTTCCTTGGTCAGCTGTGTTTGAACCAAACGTTAGCAATGTGAGGTGTTTGGCTAGTTGGTTTTTCCTGACTGAAAAAAAAAAAAGTCGCGCAACAATTTCTGCGGAAAACGAAGTTAGGGAGGAGACAAATGAGAAGGGGACAGTATACATAAGCGCAAACTATCAACTGAAGTTTATGGAGAGAACTTGTAATAATGAAGGCTTCCCAGAAAGAGAATAGTCGATTTACGAAAAGGGTGGGGCTTGACAATTGCTCCACGGTCTTCAGATGCAAACACGAGGGGTGATTACGATTACCAGATATCATGCTGCTCGAAAGTGCTTATCCGAGTATGCTGACTAAACTGCTATTTCTGGCTTCTGATGAATTCGGTTTCCGTGGGGATCAGTGCAATGGAGCTGGAACTGACGCATGCGCTTTCTTTATCTGATATGTAAAAGGCTTCCTTAAACTTCGCGTGTAGTCTTATTTCTTTATTTGGACAGAACTGTAGTTTTTTCAAACAGCGGGCTGCACCAACACTCTCTGCAGTGCATAGAAAGGTTACTTGTGATGGCAGTCTGCTGATATGCATAGCGATGCTCTTAGAGCCGCTCCTGAATTGATGAATCTTCCCGATTGTCCAATGTATTCTTTGCCACATGTCAGTCGGGTAGTGTATACGATGTCTACTTCACATTCAACGTATTTTTTATCATGACGTGTTCGGCATTCTTCTTTATTCGCCTCGGGGTCGTTCACTTTTTGGCACATTCTTTTCAATTTGACTGGGGCTGGGAACACAACATTCAGCTCAAGCCTGGCCCCTATATATCTTCAATTTATGGGATGCCTTGTGAACGTATGGGGTAACTACAGGCATTTCGTCATGCTTGTTGGGTTCTTTACTTTTTTTCGTTTTACCTCTTTTATATTGTTTTCCCCAACCGATACCAGCGCGCCGTCTGGGTAGCCGCTTTCCCTAAACTACAACAGAATGAACGACAATATGAACATAGTGTCATGAGATGCATTAAGATATGCAAAAATACGTAAAACACGTTACCAATGTCGTGGGTTAGCAGCTTAGTGGCATATCTCGTGCAGTAAAACCATCAATAGCATCAGTTTTCTAATAGCATCAGTTTTCTGGCTACATATAGTATTTGCATGGCCAGTATGTTTGAACGAATGGTGATATTTCAAGCGTTTAGGCCTAAATTTGTTTATGCTAAACTGATGACATTGCGTATTTTTGTGTCGACAAAAGTAGTGTTCCAGAAGAGCAGTTATGCCCCGCATCTCGAGCAGTCGTGCATGGGAAGAAAACTAAAATTTGGTTTATGGGGAACAAGACGCTCTGTGTGTGTTGGCATTAGATGGAACAGTGCACCATTGCTCGGGCACCTTGTGCCTTTGCACCCAATACGGAACACAGGGCCGCAGTGATTGTCAGCACTCACGCTTGTCAAGCGCGCCTCGCAAGCGTGGATGGGTGAAGAGAATTTTGAGTTCACCGGTGCGCAGGCATGCAATGGTCTTTCTTCTCACAAAGGTTAATTACGTTTGTCAGGTACTAAACTGCTCGTGAGGTAAAGATCAAGCCGTGCATAGAATATTCGCCTCTTTCGCGGGTGGGGGGGTATTAAGTAGAACCAACGTGGGAAAATATTTTTTTTTCTTCAACTCCGCACCACCGCAACTCCGCACCACCGCTGTACACATAACAAACCGCTACCAGTGGCAACACACAACGTATAGCCCTCAGTACTAGCATGCAGTGCCCACGTGAGGCACTTCTTATCAACGTCGTCACTACGCACGAGCATTGTTGTGGTCATCTACTGTGGCCGTGCCGCAGGAAACTTGGTTACTTGGCAGTCGCATGTTTACAGCGATTATTATTGCTCCTAAAAATGCTAGCCTTGCTTTGCAATCATTTCAAGTATGTTGCTATCACATTCATTGGTTCGCCCTTTTCGAGAAACTGACTTTTTTTCAGTTACCATGAGCCCGTTCTCTAGGTCTTCCGCAAAAAAAAAAAAAGCTGTACGAGAAGAGCACAACATAATTGAGTTTTTTAGCGGATTTGTTTCAAATTAAAAAAAAACATGTGTCGTACGTAAGGGCAGTAACACATGTCCATGTAATTCCATGTCTCCTGATGGTTTCACCATTGCTTTAGATATATATAGAATGTCTGGCAGTAAAATGGACTTGTGTAGAGGGCAACACGCATAAAATGTGAAGCCCTAAGTTAATTTTATATTCATTAAATAAATTACAAGTAAGGAACAAAATAGCAACAAACAACGTGCCATATTCCTTACTTGTGTGCTAGTTTCATTTGTACTGTAAGTGGTTTAGCCACTGAACTTCGTAGAAGACCGAGAGAAAATCAAGTGCGCATAACGATATGTTTTCAGCCTTTCAAGGCGCGTTCCGAGCATGGAAAGTGCACTGTTCAGTTGCTGAAGTGAACCCAACTACACTTTCGTGCAAATGCTTGGCTTTGCTTATGGCATTGGGAAACCTTAGAGTGCAAGTAAGACCTCTCTCTTAAATCGTCAAGAACGTTATGTGTCTGGATCATGAATTGAAGCCAAACCTTTCATACTAGCAGCGGATGTGTATTTCTGCTGTAGCTCGTTCCTCCGCTGACGGCGGCCTTTTTCCTTGTCATCTGTGGCAGAAGTTATTTAACCTGACTTTCTGTCGTTGTCTCAGTACACCACCCACCAGCTTGACCACGCTGGCCCGTGAAGCCTCCACCGATTTCAGGCAAATTTCTACGCTGTGCCACAGCAGCGTTACCAGACACACAATATCATCCGGCGGGAGCACTGTACTGCCGTCTTGCTATTTGTCAGCCTATTCCACAAACTGTGCTTGCTTGCTTGAGTGTCTTGTAAAATGAAGCATAGGTTTAACAAGAAAAAAGAACACACGAAAAAAGGAGAGTAACTTGAAGCAAAATTTAGTCAAAAAGCTTCACAAAACAAAAACGTTACGCGTGAGCGCATTCCAAACAGTCGCCATCACAAAAAAACTGATCAACTACTGAAAAATTCAATACAATCTGAGATGAATTCAAGGGGAGGGCACTAATTCCGTTTAAACATTTAACTGCTGTGAAGGAAGTTAGTTTCACTTATAGTCAAATGCATCGAAAGTGCTCTGATGCTCACGTCTGCTGCAATCTTTAAAGGGTCTTGCAAAACTATTAAGGCATGGTTAGAAAGTGCTGCTGATGGGTACTCGAGGCTCCCCAGACGATGCGAGCCAGATATTATATTGCCAGCGCGCGGTGTGGAATTCACAATGCATTTTCAAAGTCAGCTAAAAATTGTTTTCTCTTCTCTCGACAAGTGACACCCCAAAGTCAAAAATCACTCGTCGCAGCCATCTATATTGGCTGATTTGAGCATGGCACACTTCGTACTGGGGCCACTGCCGGAGGCCACGTTTTTTCCACGCGTGTGCACGTGATCCACTGAAAAGCTATATACACATTCTCAGAAAGAAAGACAAAGAGTGCTCAGGATCACGGCGCGTGCGTAACATTACCATTCCCTGTGCCTTGCCTCCCCGCTAAGCTTCCAGCGCTTCCGTCGGGGCTAGACAAGAAAGAATGTATGGGCAGCATGCGAAAATCGCTTCGCTTGCGGATTCCAAAACATTTTGCTGCGCTGAACTCGCGATGCAGCGAATTCATTCCATGACTGCATGCAAAAGTGTGGCCGGGCCCCTTTCAGTTTCCAGGAATTCTCTTTAGCGCCTGCCCTTTTCTCAACTCGTGACGTCTGTCTCCTCGAAAAGTGCTCTGCAACAGCAGTGCCTGCAAGGCGCAGAAAGGCACGTGCCGTCTTCTTTGAGCTTAGTCTTAGTCTATCATTAAGACATCAGCGCGTTTAGCCAAGCTTTACCACAGTTCAGCGGGATGTTATAAACCACTTCCGTAGAATAGGGAACAAAGGGCTACGTATGCTTCTTTTCGCACACTGTTTTCTTGGTTTGTTCACCGGCAGCCGAGGAGTCCCTCATAGAGGAGTGCTCTGTCCTACGCTTTTCAATCTAGTCCTCATTGGACTACTCGAGCATCTACCAAGCACTGCACAACTTTCTATCTACGTTGACGACATCTATATTTGGACATCAGGTGTGGCAAGGCTTCAGCTTCGCGCCGACCTTCAGAAGGCTGTTACAACAACGCCACGCTACCTTCATAAACGAGGTCTCGAGGTGTCCTGCGGAAAATGTGCAGTGGTAGCATTCACGGGGGAACCAATGTATGCTTACAACATGTCAATTAACGGAGAACACATATCTTGGGTGCACGTTAAAAAACCCCAGGTGGTCGAAATTTCCGAAGCCCTCCACTACGGCATCTCTCACAATCATATGGTGGTTTTGGGACGTTAAACCCCACAAATCAATCGGAGAACACATATCATTCAGCCCAAGCGACAGGTTTTTGGGAGTCCTAATAGGCAGAAATCTGTCGTGGACTGCACACGTGAATTATGTGAAGAAGCGGCTGATCGCAACATGTCACATGTTCAAATTCTTTGCAGGAAAGAAATGGGGAGTGCCCATACCATCCATGCTGCAACTTTACAGAGCGCTGTTTATCGGTTTCTTGCAGTACAGCATACCTGCAATATTTAACACCGGCAAGACCAACTTGCGCACAATTCA